CTTCAACATTGTATCTTGCATATCTTCATGTGATGACAGAAATTGTTCGTACTTAGTGAGTTCTCTACATTTGTCATTAATTTTCAACCAATCCTTTGTCCAGGTGTCTAACTGAATAAGATTATACCATGATAGTTTATTAGTCTGAAGTTTAGATATAATCAACTCCTTTGATCTCATTTTGCTCATCCAGTCCTTCAATACTGCAACCCTTTTATTCTTAAACAGTTCTACTAAATCCTTTAAATTTGTAGGGAAGCTTTCTTTTTCAGTCACTAATTTTAATGGTGAAGTTGAGGGACAAAAGTTCTCTTTATATTTATTTCATATATTTAACATAGTTCTTTAAAAGGGGGTTTTCCTCTGATTTATTAAACGTCTCTTTGCTACATTAAACAAGTGTCCTTCAGCATTCCTTTTTTTTCTGAAGATTCCATCTCCCACCAAACTAATATTTCTTTATTGCATATAATATCTCCAATAACTCTTAATTGGTTTGCTATATAGTAATTTTTAACATTAGACATACCTAAACTCTCTTTTGGGGGGCCTTATACCAAAATCTTTTATTTATTCTTGATTTTTTTTACCTTAGTTACAGAATCCATTACTGTAATTAATCCCTGCCAATACTTAAAATACTTTTCTTCTAATTGTATTGGGAGCATCCTAAATAGGAAAGTAATCTTTGGTAATATTTTCATTTTGATTATAGCAATTCTCCCAAACCATGATAGTTTCAGTTTAGAATACTCTTGCAATTTATCTTTAATATCATTTTTTAATTTATTAAATTTTTTCTCCTTTAATTTTTGAGTTGTTTTAACTATATTTATACCTAAATATTTAATATAATTACACATTTTAACACTATATTTATTCACAAACATCTCTTGTTCCTTTATATTATAATTAAACATCATTTGTGATTTTTGCCAATTAATCATTAATCCTGTTATTTCCCCAAATTTTTCTAAATGGTTTTTGATGTTATCCATACTCTCTAGTGGGTTTTTAATAGTCAATAATGAATCATCAGCAAATTAATTTTAATTATATCATTTTTTCCTATTCCTTTAATGGATTTATCATTTCATATTGTGTTAACTAACTCTATAACCATACAAAACAATATTGGTGAAAGTGGACAGCCTTATCTTGTACCTCAGCCTAGATAAATCTTTTCCATTAAACCAACTTTCTAGTTTTTAGTATTGACAATACTAATTATATCAATAATAGATAGCAACAGTAATAATAAAACTAGAATTATTAATAATTCTGAATTTTAATTGTTTTTTTACTTATAATTACAGGGGTGAGAGGGGGTGGAGATGGAGGCCTCAATGTTATCAAATATTAAGAAGAAATGTGAAAATTTGATAAAAAAGAGCAGAGGTTGTGTTTCCGCCAGAGAATGGTAGTGTCTCCCCTACCTTGTGCCCTCGCTAGTAGTTATAGTGGGAGAATACTGTGGGGTGGGGAAAAAAGATAAATGTGCAGTGGGTTGTTAGGGGTAAAACATTATATGTTTGGGTTATGTTGAGTTTAATTTTTAGTGTATTTTGTTATGTTTGTTGTGGGGATGGGTTGTACACTGGGCCTGTTAGGATGAGAGGTTTTGAACTGAAATGGGAAAGAGAATAAGACTAGCCACTTTATACGTGAAAGGCCTGGGATCAATAGTGAAAAGAAGAATAGAAGCTTTATTGAAAGAAAAATAAGGTGGACATTGCCTTTTTGCAAGAGACTCATCAATCAGAAGATGGGGTCAACAAACTTAAGATGAACAATACAGACATTTATGAAAAAAGCTTTGGAACATCTAAATCTAGAGGTGTGGCAATCATATTTTTTAAAAATTTGTGAATTTACAGTGAATCAGGTAGTAAAAGATTGTAATGGTAGATTTATAATAATGCAGGGTAAAATGGGTTTGGAGGAATATACTTTGGTTAATATTTACACACCTAATATTAAACAAGGAGATTTTTATGACATGGTTATTAAAGAAATGGAGAAGGTAAAGAAGGGTTATGTTATAATGGCAGGGGATTTCTATATGCTCATGGATCAGATAAAGGATAAAACTTGCTATTATAGGAATGATGTTCTCCAAAGAAACACAATATTGAGCAAGAAGGTAAAAAATAACCACTTGAAAGATATTTGAAGAGTAATGAAAGGTGATGAAAGAAGATATACCTATTTTTCAGCAGTACATAATAGTTATTCCAGAATAGATTTCAGATTCACATCTCAAGATTTAATTCCTAAGACAATATTGAGATTAATTCTATAAAAATAACATATCATGCTTTGATGTCAATGATGATTGAGATTAAAAAAGATTTTAAAGACTCTAAAAGAAGGAGAATGGATTTTAACATTTTCCAGTACCCAGAGATAATAGAAAAGACAAAGAATGGTTAGAATTATGTACAATAAATGAAGCAGGAGGTACAAAATTAGGCCTGTTGTGGGACACTATGAAAGTAATTTCCAGAGGAATAACAATAAGGGAATCCTGTAAACTGAAAAAAATAGGTAGATAAACATGAAAAAACTGGAAGAAGAATTGGAAAGCAAGTTTTTTTAAAGAAAGAGATTGAAGGCTTTTGGCAGAAATTCAGGCAAAGAGAAAGGAACTAGAAAACTGAGAGAAGGTTCAGAGGGATTTGATGTATATAAAGAGGATCTTTTTGAATTTAGCAATAAAAACTCAAAATTATTAGCTAGAATGTGCAAAAATAGAAGATTAAAAACATAATTGGGGTAATTAAAGATAGAACAGGCAAGGGGTGTAATATAATGGTAGATAAATTGAAAATTTTTCAAGAATTTTATCAGAAAATATATAAAGGAAACAATGTACTGAAAGAGGATATAGAAAATTACATAAATGAGAATTTTAAAACTAAATTATTGGAATGTGATAAAAGAATATTAGAAGAAGATATTAAAGAACAAGAAATTGCTGAAGTCATTAATAAATTGAGAAATGGTAAAACACCAGGCCCTGATGGATTGGATCCAGAATATTATAAATATCTTAGTTCCATATGATTACCTAAGCTAAAAATGTTTTATAATAAAATAGTGGAAGGAGAGACAGTGCCACCTTCTTGGAAACCCTCATTAATGATTCTTATTCCAAAACCCAACAAGGATCTAACAGATCCAGGATCTTATAGACCTATATCTTTAATAAATCAAGATGCTAAGATTTTTACTGCTATGTTAGCAAATACATTAAATAGATTTATAGCAAATTATATTAAAGAGGATCAATGAGGCTTTATAAAGGGAAGACAAATGGATAATTTAACTAGGCGAGTTTTGAACATTATATATGAGGTAGAAAAGGAAAAAACAAAGGCATCTGTTTTATCACTAGACATATTTAAGGCCTTTGATTGTGTGGAATGGCCAACATTAAAGCTGCTTATAAAGGGTTGGGGATTTGTTAGAAGATTTATTGAGGTTATAGATCAATTATATTCAGATAATATTTCAGAAGTAAAAGTTAATGATGATTTAACAGAGCAAACTTTTCTAGGCTGAGGTACAAGACAAGGCTTTCATCAATATTGTTTTGTATGATTATAGAACTGTTAGTCAATGCAATAAGGAACAGTGAATTAATTAAAGGATTAGATAAAATGATACAAGTAAGATTAATTTATTTGCTGATGATTCATTATTAATTATTTAAAAAACCCATTAGAAAGTATGGATAAAATTAAAAATCACTTAGAAAAATTTGGAGAAATAACAGGATAAACTATTAACTGGCAAAAAACACAATAATGATATTTAATTACAATAAATATAAACAAGAAACATTTGTAAATAAATATGGTTTTAAAATGTGTAATTATATTAAATATTGAGGTATAAATATAGTTAAAGTGACTCAAAAATTAAAGGAGGAAAAATTTAACAAATTAAAAAGTGATATTAAAGATAAATTGCATGAGTATTCTAAATTGAAACTATCGTGGTTTGGGAGAATCACTATGATGAAAATGAAAATATTAGCAAAAAAATATACTTTTTTATTCAGGATGCTCCCAATACAATTAGAAGAAGAAGATTTCATGTATTGGCAGGGATTAATTAATGGATTTTGTAATCAAGGTAAAAAAATCAAGAATAACTAAAAGATATTGGTATAAGGCTCAAAAATGGAGTTTTAGGTATTCCTAATATAAAAAATTATCATATAGTGAATCGAGTAAGATTTATTGGAGATATTATATATAACAGTTGGTTGGACAGTGTCATCAAAGTGACCAACATGAATTTGACACAACTCTGGGAGGCAGTGGAAGATAGGAGGGCCTGGCGTTCTCTGGTCCATAGGGTCACGAAGAGTCAGACACGACTAAATGACTAAACAACAAAAACAATATATAACAAAGGAAGATTAATTTGGTGAGCTATGGAATCCTCAGAAATAAATTGAAAATATATTTGTTTGATGTAGTAAAAATAAATATAATAAATCAGGTGAACAACCCTTTTTTAAGAAACATGTTAAATGTCTGGAAGAGATATAAAAAGAAGTTATGTCCCTTTACTTCACTGCTAAAATTAGTGACCAAAATAGAAAATTTCCCAACAAAGTAGGACTGTGGGTGCAGTAGAACTTCTGCCTCATCTAGAAGAGTCCATCACATCTATCAGCAATTTAATTCTGCCTTCATCAAAAAATGCTGCTGAAGCCATAAGGTATTTATACTCAAAATACTCATCATATCTAATCTGATCAGGGGTTCCCCCCATCCCCATTCACAATGGTATAATAATGCCATGTCATGTCACACATACACTTTTCAGCACTTAAGAAATTTCCCCTTCTGATGACATATTAACTTCAGTTTGGCCCTTTGTATTCAATTAACAGAGCTAAAAATGCCATCATGCTCTACCTTTCTAATACACAGAGAAAAAAACAGGTAGCAAAAGTGTTGCCTATGAAATAATCATAATTTTACCTTATCTAACCTTAGACAGCAAAATGGCACTTTCTCATGAAGCAAATGGCAGAAGGTGGGAGAACTTCCTATATACGGGGAGTAAGGAGGATAACCTTTCAGGTACCTAAAACAAGGAAAAATCCAATCGTATTAATGTTGTCAGATGTAAGCGACCGCATGACATATTTCTACAAACTGTGCTCTATCCTTGATTCTACTGCTTCTCAGTCTAATTTTCCCCTGGGCTGCTCAACAGAAATAACCAGGTTTTATACGTCATCTTGTTTCCTTGCCCTGTCCAATTGACTCTGACTGGCTTCTGTTATTCTTTTGGTACACACTGCTCCCTTCTTCTTCATTCCAGAAAAAAAAACTTCACCAAAAGGAAGTGAATTCTGATAATAATTCTCATTTTCTGAGGAGCAGAACTGACCTAGTTTCTAGTGAGTAACCCATGATGTGGTTCATCCAAGCACGCTTTCTGTCTTTTAAAAAAACATTTTGACTTCAGCTATTTTATACTATATACTGTATTTTATTTATTTTAGTCATTTGTATATCACCCAATTTAATTTTAAAAACTATTCTGGGTAGTTAAGAATTGTTTAAAATAACCCTCCCACCCAAATCACTGAACCCAAATAAACTATATGCCTACTGTATTTTTAAAACCGATTTTTATTGCTTTGTTCTGCTTTTCCTTCAGCACTTTTGCTGGAAGAAACTGGCACATGATTTGACAAAACGTTAATGTTCTGCTTCTCGTGTGCTCTACTCCAAACATCTAATTTCCCTCATCCATAACCACACCCTTTTAAATATATAAACTTCTTTATTTAAACTGAACATACTCTAGGCCATTTGAAACTTCTTCATCGGAAGGTGTTGTTTCATCTTCTGACTGGTCACTTAAGAGGTCACAGGTGTGAAGTGCTGAAGAGTCGGCAACCTCTAAAACTGGTGCTATGCTTGGCCTCCTGCCGGTTTTGCCTGCCTCTGAAGGAAGGTTCAGAGTAGGCCCACTAGGAGATCGGCAACTTGTGTCTTGCAAATCTATAGCTACTGTTCCTGTGGGGGGACAATGGGAAGAGTTGAATCCAAAGGATTTAGCTTTTGATGATGGGAGGAAGTTGTCAACATGTTTGATTCCATTATGAGGACAAGAGATCAAACTAGATGTGAAAATGGCAGACACCAGCAGATCTGTCCACAGAACAGAACCTTTTGACCTGCAAAGGCTGGAAGGGAGATGAATCCTCCATTATCTAGATATAATAGGATATCTTGGCCTGGGAAGTTTGGAAGTGAGATGAATCCAGACAGGAAATCAGTTATTTCCCCTAAATGTTGGCAGGCTGATAGTGATGTGAGTGTTACTCAGAACTCCAAGACATGGAACAAAATGGGATAAAAATTCAGTTCAAAAATGTGTACTGTCTGAGTAGATGAGGTATAAGGCAATCTCCATTTTTAATACTTGTCCTCTCCTGATAATACCATGCATTCTAATAATGCCATGCATTTTGGTAAAGTTTGAAAATCCACTTTTTAAACAATGCCATTTCTCTGCCTCTGCCCCATTTATTAGCTGAATTGTAACATAATTAGAGAGGACCACAAGAAGTCTTGCAGTACCTTTACAACTAATAAATTTTATTTGGCATGAGCTATCATGGGTTGTAATCTAATTCTTTAGATTAAAAAATTGTGCCAATAGATTGGAGTTAAATAAATACAGGGACTGCTAAATATATGCTTAATTTTAGAATATAGTGACGTGCTGCCACCAGCTATCTTCATGTGTACCTGTATTATTTTACTTTGTTCCCTATTAATTTATCTCTTGTCATCTTGCTTTAATGAAAAGCCTTGAAATATAAGTAATGAATCTCCATTCAATTAAATAGTTCATACAATTTTAGTTGTAGCTTCTGTAAGAATGATGTTGTAAAGGTCTTACAGAGGTCATTTATCCCTTCCAGCCATACAATATTCAAAAGTCCCAGTATTATTATGTGCAGACAACATGCAACTTTTACCTGTCATTCAGGCTGGGTTGGAATGATTGTTAAAAGAATTTGGAACTGTAACAGGCAAAAAAAATCTTAGAGTCAAATATAGCAAACCAGAGAATGGTTTTTGGCAAGAATCCAACACAGTAGAAATGGGTCACAAATTATTGCTGTGGGTGCACAGAGGAGGAGGAACTCTGCACAGAGGGGGGAGGTAGAGTCACATGCACCTTAGAGGGAACCTTGGTTGTTGTCGATTTTAAAGAAATTCTGCCAATTTCTGCTATTAAGTAGGGGTGAAAAATTTTGCAAACATTTTTCAACAGGGTAACTTGATAAGTCAGGACATCCTTTTCCTCAAGGATGAGAAAATTTGAAAATACATGTTTATAATTAAAAACTAGATATATAAGGAATGACAGACTAGTCCTTTCAGTTGGCTCTAATGAGGAGTGTCTGAAGATCAAACACATCCACATTCCTTGATATTTGAACATCTGAGACTAAAAATACTGAAATAAGAAACTCAGTTTTGAATTGCTTGGGTATGACATAACATAGAGTATACAAAATAAACTATTTGAAACATTTTATACGTATCTATGTGTATCTATGTGTATGTAATTTTATGTTATTATTCCCTTTATTGTCTTCACATAACCAACATTACATTTTTATGATGATACAGCACATGTAAGGTGTAACAGAGATGTTTTTTTCTCTCTTAATCCATGTTAACTACTGAGAGTGTGCTTTTTTGTAGTTTTGGACTTCAGTTCCCAGAATCCTCCAAGTATTCTGGAATGGTGACCCAGAAACCCAAATCAACAGACCTCTGGGTTCCTCCCCCCACATGAACGATTTTTGTTTGATTTATCTGCACCATTATTTTTCTTGGCTTTTCTATGTCCTGTTGCATCACAGTGCTTCCTGTGTGTCATAATCTCGCTGCCCAATACGCTCTATAGAATTATGACTCCCAGGAAGTACCACAGCAACTTCCTCTTTTTAAAAAACAAATCAACAACAGGAAACAACAGGAAGCAGAAAGGCCAGAAGAGCTGTTGGTGCTTGTCTTGGGGTGGAGGAAGGGTGCTGATTAGGTTTTCTGGCCAGCAACTCCTCAAATTCTTTCAGGAATCTGGGAATTGGAGTCCAAGAAACACAAGAAAGAATAACCAGTTAGCAACAATAATAGCTATTGCTGTTACTATTATAATTGCTAATTACCAGTTCTAATTACCAGTTCAAGGTGCTTTCTCTTCCAGTCATTACCCAAATGTATCTTTTGGAGCAAATTAGACTTATCTCAGTAAAATATAATTAACTAGAAATATTATTTTTCTTAATCATATCTGAGTCAAGCATGTTTTTGTTTCTATACATTCGAATTGTTGTGTCATTGCAAGTAATAAGGTTGTTCCCTGACAGGTGATGACATAATTTTGAATATAATTTGAAATGTAAGTTTAAACTAAACTTTAATAGTTGTTGTGGATTTTTCGGGCTCTTTGTGTGTGTTCTGAAGGTTGTTCTTCCTAACGTTTCGCAGTCCCAGTATTATTATGTGCAGACAACATGCAACTTTTACCTGTCATTCAGGCTGGGTTGGAATGATTGTTAAAAGAATTTGGAACTGTAACAGGCAAAAAAAATCTTAGAGTCAAATATAGCAAACCAGAGAATGGTTTTTGGCAAGAATCCAACACAGTAGAAATGGGTCACAAATTATTGCTGTGGGTGCACAGAGGAGGAGGAACTCTGCACAGAGGGGGGAGGTAGAGTCACATGCACCTTAGAGGGAATCTTGGTTGTTGTTGATTTTAAAGAAATTCTGCCATTTCTGCTATTAAGTAGGGGTGAAAAATTTTGCAAACATTTTTCAACAGGGTAACTTGATAAGTCAGGACATCCTTTTCCTCAAGGATGAGAAAATTTGAAAATACATGTTTATAATTAAAAACTAGATATATAAGGAATGACAGACTAGTCCTTTCAGTTGGCTCTAATGAGGAGTGTCTGAAGATCAAACACATCCACATTCCTTGATATTTGAACATCTGAGACTAAAAATACTGAAATAAGAAACTCAGTTTTGAATTGCTTGGGTATGACATAACATAGAGTATACAAAATAAACTATTTGAAACATTTTATACGTATCTATGTGTATCTATGTGTATGTAATTTTATGTTATTATTCCCTTTATTGTCTTCACATAACCAACATTACATTTTTATGATGATACAGCACATGTAAGGTGTAACAGAGATGTTTTTTTCTCTCTTAATCCATGTTAACTACTGAGAGTGTGCTTTTTTGTAGTTTTGGACTTCAGTTCCCAGAATCCTCCAAGTATTCTGGAATGGTGACCCAGAAACCCAAATCAACAGACCTCTGGGTTCCTCCCCCCACATGAACGATTTTTGTTTGATTTATCTGCACCATTATTTTTCTTGGCTTTTCTATGTCCTGTTGCATCACAGTGCTTCCTGTGTGTCATAATCTCGCTGCCCAATACGCTCTATAGAATTATGACTCCCAGGAAGTACCACAGCAACTTCCTCTTTTTAAAAAACAAATCAACAACAGGAAACAACAGGAAGCAGAAAGGCCAGAAGAGCTGTTGGTGCTTGTCTTGGGGTGGAGGAAGGGTGCTGATTAGGTTTTCTGGCCAGCAACTCCTCAAATTCTTTCAGGAATCTGGGAATTGGAGTCCAAGAAACACAAGAAAGAATAACCAGTTAGCAACAATAATAGCTATTGCTGTTACTATTATAATTGCTAATTACCAGTTCTAATTACCAGTTCAAGGTGCTTTCTCTTCCAGTCATTACTCAAATGCATCTTTTGGAGCAAATTAGACTTATCTCAGTAAAATATAATTAACTAGAAATATTATTTTTCTTAATCATATCTGAGTCAAGCATGTTTTTGTTTCTATACATTCGAATTGTTGTGTCATTGCAAGTAATAAGGTTGTTCCCTGACAGGTGATGACATAATTTTGAATATAATTTGAAATGTAAGTTTAAACTAAACTTTAATAGTTGTTGTGGATTTTTCGGGCTCTTTGTGTGTGTTCTGAAGGTTGTTCTTCCTAACGTTTCGCCAGTCTCTGGCGAAAAACCCACAACAACCATTAGATCCCAGCCGTGAAAGCCTTCATGGGTACATTAAACTTTAATCCTTCGAATTTAGAACTAAGAATTGCCCTTAACTCAACCAACAGATACCAACTGCAATTTTAGAATATCATTTTAAGACAGTATTTTATGATCCTTGATTGTCTTTGTCATGATTCTGCAAGGGGAATACTTTAATATTTATCCCCTGAGCCCCTCCCCCCCCCCATAGATAATACTAAATTTCTAGATGCAGCTCATGAGGGAAAAGCTATTTATTCTCTGGTAACTTTTCATATTAGGGTGACCCTACTGGTAGGTTTCATCTTCTCAGCTTCCAAAATTTCTATTTTCTATTTTATATGATAAGTAAGCTAGAATTCTTATTCCTATTGTGAATCTTTGGTTTGAAGTGATCACAATTCTGCTTTGTATTTTGAATTATGGTCAAAATAATGAAGATGGATTGACTGAGTAGAATCACTTTATTTTTGCTTACCCATGCTAGCAATTATGCTGTGCACTGGCAATCGAGAAGGGCCATGATAAAATGACCTGGATAAGTGATTCTTTCGGTGTTGCTCCTGCTTCTTAAAAGCTGAATTTTCTTCTTTTGTGATGTTGATATAAAAACATATATCGGAGGAGCTCATTATATAGCGGGGACCTGGGTTCAGCAAAATATTCTTGTTATCTTCCCTCCTGACACCGATTAAGCAGACACCAAATCTTAATTTTAAAAAGAATACAAAAGGAAAACAACAATGTGTGGTTAGGAAATGCGCGCACACACACATTTCAATTTCCATTTGAGTATCTCCTATTATATGAAATTTCAAGAAGACCATTATGAAAACACATTATACCCCATTCACAAAAATGCACCCAAAGAGGAAATTTTTTTTATATTTTCCCCAGAAGAGACAATTGTAGAACATACAAAAGAAGGAATCACTATAGTCATGCAACCACTATCATTCATCCTCTCTACTATTTTATATTATAACTTGGCTAATAAGATTGACTGATAGCAGTCTTGAGCAATTGAGAACCAGACTGTAGGATGTAGAACCATACGAGCCCAGTTTAAATCTGATATGAACTGACCATAAACCCACCTTCTTCAACAAGCACAGAAATGAGATAAATAACACAGGCACAGGTTTCTTTATAATTATTTTGTACATGCAGTTTGGTCTCCCACTCTTAAAGGGAAGAGAAACACAATTTAGTATTCAAATGAAATGACCTCATCACACATGATGTCACATGTGTGATGGTGAAGCAGCAGTCATGCTAAATTCTTTACTATAAAACAATGCTTACTGACCCAGTAGATGTCCTAAGTGGAAACTCCCTTATGGGTACTCAATATGTAAGGAGGGAGAATATGCTAGCCCCCCCTGAGCTCTGCCATTCCTTGACATTCTTGCTATCCTTGTTAACTTGGGGAAAAAATTCACCAGTCCCTCATCCTTATATGTGAGGAAAAGACAAGTCAGAAAATACATTTCTTCAGTGTGTAAGCAGGACTTTCAGACTTGCGTCTCCACGGTGAGGGCCACTGGAAAGCCATGAGATCCTCAACATGTAACTATGAAAAAAGTATTAAACAGAAATGCACCAAAACTACAGCATAGTTTTTGCTGACACAGAAACCAACCTGGTCTCAGTATCAGCAAACACAGCTCCACCTCGGCTGCCATTTCTACATCACCTCGACCCCGATGAACTCTGACTTTTCTATTTCAGCTCCAATTTATATCTGTCCCCCAGCTGCCACTCAGGCTGGCCTTGGCCAATGGGATCTTCAATCTATCTGGATAGTAGAAACAGCAAGGGACTAGGACCTGGGGGTAACAACTGTGAGGCCTGGAAATGTCTCTGGACATGACCGAGGCATATGTGATCTGGGTGGGGGCTATTCTGTTTTGTCTCTCCCCTCTTCTGTTAATTTTTAGTTGCTTATGTTATTAATTTAATTTCATTGTGTTTATTGTGTTACGGTTTGTTTGATTGATTCTTTATTTGATTTGTTAATCCTTGTCACTATTGGTTATTTTTTAGTTTGTTAATATTTTTTCTTTTCTTTTCTCCTTTTGTTTGGCATGGAGTGGAAGAGGGTGATCTCTGGCAGAGGGAGGTATGGTATAGGTGCAGTAGCCATTCGTTCCAGAAGAATGGTGAACAGATGTTTGAAACCTGTTCACTGTTCTGATACTGTGACCTCCTGCCAGACTCGAGGTAGTCAACTGTAAACCTGGTGTTGCTAAATGCCAGATCTGTAGCAAATAAGTCCCAGATTCTACAAGATCTGATTCTGGAGGAGGATACAGATCTGGCATGCATGGGCAGTCCAACACCAGAGTAGACAGGAAGGGCGGGGTGGGGGTGTAGCCATTGTTTACAAAAATATCCTTCAGGTTGCTAGGTGCTCTGCTCTGGTGACGCCGGGTCTAGAAGCCCTCCACATGTTGATTGGGGCCAGGGATGGTGCCTGCTCTGGTGACGCCGGGTCTAGAAGCCCTCCACATGTTGATTGGGGCCAGGGATGGTACAGTGGTGCCTCGCTAGACAACAACCTCGCAAAACAATGAATCCCCATTACGATGAGGTTTTGTGATCGCTATAGCGATTCACAAAACAGTGATTCCAATGGGCGATTTTTGCTAGAGAATGATTTGGTCCATGCTTTGCGGACTTTTTTTGTAAGACAATGATTTTTACAGCTGATCGGCGGCTTCGCAAAATGGCTTCCCTATGTTTTCAGGACCGATGCTTCACAGGACAGCCATTTTTACAGCTGATCGGCGGTTTCGCAAAATGGCTGCCCTATGGGCAATCTTCGCAAAACGATGACGATTTTTCCCCATTGAAACGCATTAAACAGGTTTCAATGCATTCCAATGGGGAAACGGTTTTTGCAAGACAATGATTTCGCTAAACTGCGATTTTTATGGAGCAGATTATCATCAGCATGCGGGGCACCACTGTATAGGGATCTTGATGGGTTACTGTGCTCTCCACGACCCAGCCATTTCCTTACTGGAGCTGGTGGACTTGGGTGACTTCAATGTGCATACGGAGGCAGAGGTTTCCGGTCCAGCTCTTGAGTTCTTGGAGACCATGTCCTGCTTGGACATGTGACAGGTTTGAGATAAACCTGGAGAATTGTTAAATCCAGTTTTGTATAGAGCAGTGGAAGACTATAAGTAAATGTAAAAATCAATGCTAAGAAAATAAGTAAAATAAGAATTTAGGCAGCTGGGATAATGCAAGACTTCCAAATAAGTAAAATAAGAATTTAGGCAGCTGGTATAATGCAAGACTTGCATCAGCTGGGAAAGAAATCCTAGGATTGGCTAACCCTGGGATAAAGCAAGCAGACCCAGCACACATACTCTGGTGTCGTGGTGCTGTGGTCTTGGAAGGTGTTGTGTCATCATGGAGAATACTGGAGAAGTACTCTGACTGCTGGACTGAATATATGGTATATGATTACTGAATTGATTTACAAGGACTTTGACCTGATTTATGCCTGAAATCTGTTGGAACTGCTGTATATGACTACGGGACTGGAAATAAGGACAAAGCTGTATGTGTATGTATATATTCTACAAACAAATTGAGTTAATACAAACTTTCTGCTATCAACCCTGTCTTATTGCTTGGTGTCTTCATCTCTCTGGGGAATTCTACGGGTTAGCACCACCTAGTGCCTCCTAGTAATACTGCAACTCTGTCATTATTGCTTGGTGTCTTCATCTCTCTGGGGCATTCTATGGGTTAGCGCCACCTAGTGCCTCCAGGTAATACTGCAATTCTGTCAACATGTCCCAACATGTCAACGGCCCTACCCACATGGGTGGCCACACGCTGGACCTGGTGTTCTCCATTGAGCAGAGTGAGTGTGCTCCGATGGTGACTGACCTAGTGTCTGTCCCCTTGTCATGGTCAGATCATTGCCTAATTAAATGCAATCTTGCACTCACAATGGTGATCCAGGTGTCATCAGTGGTCCGTTCTGCACATTTCCACCTTCAGCAGATTGCCCAGCTCTGCATCCCTATCTTGATGTGGAGGTGTCGTTCCGCACATTTCCACCTTCAGCAGATTACCCAGCTGCAATCCCTATCTTGATGTGGAGGTGCTCACCATGCGCTCGTAGTCTCAAGATTAGACTACTGTAATTTACTCTATGTGGGGCTGCCTTTGAGATTGACGCAGAAACTTCAGATGGTACAAAATGTGGTGTCCAGACTTCTTACAGGGGTAAAAAGATATTTTCCCCGCACTGGCTGCCTTGCATTGGCTGCCCATTCATTTCTGTGTTGATTTCAAAGTTCTTAACTATAAAGCACTAAATAGTTTAGGACCTCGATATCTGGTCTCCCACCCAGTTCTGCCAGAGTTACTCATTCTAGCCAGGCCGGGCAGCTGAGGGGCATAATGCCGAGGGAGATTTGGAAGGAAAGAAAGAGGAACCGGGCCTTCTCGGCAGTGGCCCCTCCCCTCTGGAACAACTTGCTCATGAAGATCCATCTGGCTCCCTCTCTAGGTGTCTTCAGAATCAAAGTCAAGACCAGGCTATTTGGGCAGGCTTTCCCTCCTGCTGTATCTTAAATTCACATCTTACCATCTTGGATTTATAGTGCATGTGGTTTAACTGTTTTTAAATTTGTAATACCACCCAGAGTAGATCTTTGGTTGAGATGGGCGGGGTAGAAATCTAATAAAATAAAATAAATACTGTTTCAAATAACAAACTTCTTAACACTGAAAAGAGGTGCAGAATGTAGTTGAACTAACTTTAGGACCCCTATGTACCTTCTCACTTGTAGAGAGTCAGCAGATGCCATAATGAAGTTCTTTGGAAAGAATTTACCCCTTAGAGGTGGTAGAATGTGCTCTGTAATGCTCCATCTACAATAGGAAAATACTAATATTCTCTACAGTACTTGTGGAGGACATTTCACATTTTGACCAATAATATAGAATGTGCTCTGTAATGCTCCATCTACAAAAATTTACAATAGGAAAATACTAATATTCTTTACAGTACTCGTGGAGAACATTTCACATTTTGACCAATATTAGGAGAATGATATTCCAAATGACAATCTGAAGGGAGAACATTCTGCAGTACCAGAGATTGCATCGTACAACAAAGAATTGTCAAATACGCAATGAATAGTGGACCACATTACTACTTTACACATGCACAGAATAGAGTAACTTTCTTTAAAGACTGCGGTGCTTTTACACACCACCCTGGCCTAATGGGCCATTTGGTTCTTTTACCAGGGCTTGGCAAGCCAAGGTTATATATTCCTTAATCCTCCATAAAATGAAAACATAGATGTCTACTTGTCCATGGATTTTGGATGGAAGGAAACAAATGACAATTGAATCTATCAGTGATGCATCATTCCTTCTCAATGGAAACATAAAACTTGATGCACGTACATCTAAGAGTTTTCAGGTGAGTTCCAGGGAGACCAATGGAAAGAGATTTCCTGAGAGAGCTGAAACCAAGAACTAAATATTCAGAAAAAACGTTAATAATGGAAACTGGGGTCAGCAAAAAGTCTCCACAGCTCTGAGGCACAGCAAACCTTTAGACTTTCACTTAACTGGAAGATCTTCCTTCATGAAAAGTGGGACTGACTGGGAGCAGCCATGAATTATGCACTGCTATGTCTATCAGATTTTGAAACTGCAGCCAGTGA